TAATTACTCCCATAATTAAAATGTGTTATATTAAGATAGTTAATCCTAATTATCTCTAGAATATTCCTTTTATTAATTATCCATCTTATATCCGTATCTAGAAAGAATACTGAATAATTAATTCAATATAGCTTTCAAAGCTGTTCATTCCCAACATACCCTCGAACCAAAAGTGCCAACAGATGCAAACCCTAAGAAATAAAATTCCCCTAAACAAGTACTAATGTAATTATGGTTGAAAGTGTGGTTCATGAAAGGGATGTAATCACACCTCTAAGGTTAAGAAATCAGAGGAATGAGAGGTGACGCAAAGACCGCCTTGACAACTTGCATAAAGCACATGAGAACATTTCTAACATTTTTTTTTTTTTGAGTCGAGTATGACGACAACATTGTTAGTACTTTGCTTAAGTCTTCATACATATTAAATAGAAGAATCAAATTACACTAATTGACATCCATAATACATTAATTATTCTCCTGTGTAATCGCTCTATAGCTGTTATTACAATGAAGAAGCTAGGGCATTGGTGGACTGCTTGCTTTTGTTCAACCGTCTCAAAAGCAGTGGCAATGGACATAGCCACATAAGAATCAGGTAACCCAATATTAGGCAATAATCAACCTAATTATTGAACAAATAAGCTTTGGCAAGAGTGATGATGCGGGATGAAAGAACTCTGATTTAGCGATGAGCAACCCCTGGCCGAAGCCATAGAGTTTACCGGTATATTTGATTTTTCCTTTTTCAGCAGTCTCCGACCACCAGACTTCCTCCGACCGCCACACTTCTCCGGTGAAAATCCCATTGGCAGACTCCCTCCGACCACCTCGAAAAAATATACCACTGCACTGATACGTTGTACCACTGTACTGGTAGATATACCACTGCACTGATACGTTGTACCACTGTACTGGTAGATATACCACTACACTGGTAGCGATATCAGTGCACTAGTAGCAATGTCATATCTGAGGAGCGTGAGTGAGTGCAAGAAGGAAGGGATGGGGAGGAAGAGGCAAACGCGTCCTCGGAGCTAGGGGAAGAGATAAGCATCGATAGGACATGGAGATGTGGGCTCAGGAAGGAGCTGAATACGAGGGGTTTTTGGAGACCTGGCGACCCTTTGTCCAGGCGCGAAATCAAATACCAGTAAAGTGGTAATTAATGTGGTGTATTTAATGCTTACTTTGTATTTAATAACAGAACATTTATTATGTTTACTTTCATTAATACTTGTCAATAATTAATGAAAAATTGACCAATTAAAAGGGGGTGTCAAAAAACCAACCCTTTAAGGGGTTAGCATGCTAACCCGTCCCCCAACGTTTTTCGAGATGCTTAGTAATTGGAATCATGGATAGCTTTTATAGATAGCAAAGAGGACACACCAACTTGGTTACTTCCAAAACTGAACCTTCAATTGTGTTTCTCGTTTCCAGGGGAAGTTAGGGATAATCGAAATATATTGGATTAGTAGATACTTAAAATTTTACCAAAAAAAAAATACTTAATTGGAACTAAGTGTACCTAATTAGTTTCTTTTTTATCGAACCTAATTTGTTTCTTTTGTTGTATATATAGTAACGATCTTGTTAGAAAATAGAACATTTATAATATATTTTAAATATCTAGTGTGTCTAACAGTAAACCGTTGGTCACGAGATTAATCCTAAAAGTACAAGTTTGTTAACGAACGATAACAAATCTATTGTGAATTTAACAAATAATAACAAATCTGCCTTGTAACCCACAAGGCTGCACGAGGGTATATAATGATTTCCAAGGTGTAGTAGAGAATCCTTAGTTCTGATTCCAAACACTATACATAGTTATTTCCAACAACAACACAAACCACACCTAGGTTTTGTTCTTTTATGTTAGTGAATACTGCTTGGGTTTCAAGTGGGAGAAACCATTTTCCTTTCATGTTAGTGACTATAGCAATATGCAACATATATTATTTATTTTTAAGAATCATATACTAGTTGTATATCAAACTTAATTGGGTGTGCCTATGGTGACATGCATGTCACGGTGACTTGCACTTTCCGGTCGACCTCAGTTAGGATTAGGTCGACCACATATAGGATTCGGTCGACCTCATATAGGATCTGGTCGACCTCATTTACGATTCGGTCGACCTCATATAGGATCAGGTCGACCTAATATGTTGTTTCAGTGTAAAAACAGTTCATGGTACCTACTTTGGATATTCATATCATACAATTGGCTAGATGGAAATTGAAGACTAATGACTTGTTTTGAAGCTGGAGTGTCCCTCTACATATTGAAGTGGAAGAGAGCTCGATAGGAAGTCTAGAAGATCATTTTTGAACCTCATCAAAAGGCTATGCCAAAACTGGGAAACTGCCTGGAAATGGCTAAGTCTGGAAACGTGTTTGTGAAGCCTATTTTGGAGCTCAATTCGAGAAGCATGAATGCGAGTCAAGTCCAGGAGCCTCTACTACGTTAAATTAGGTATGTTTTTATACAAATTCAAGGCATTGGATGAAAGATTGAATATCTTTAAGGCTTCAAACAAAAGGGTCGAAGTTGCTACAAAGGCTGTTTTTCTAGCAGACTTCGAGCACAAGCAAGCTGTCAGAAAACAACCTTTGTAGCAACTTCAAGCCTTTTGTTTGAAGCCTTAAAGATATTCAATCTTTCATCCAATGCCTTGTCTTTGTATAATAAAACATGTAATTTAACGTGCTAGAGGCCCCTGGACTTGACTCGCATCCATGCTTCTCAAATTGAGCTCCAAAGTTGGCTTGACAAAGACGTTGCCAGACTTAGCCATTTTCAGGCAGTTTCGCAGTTTTGCCATAGCCTTTTGGTCAGGTTCAAAAATGGTCTTTTGGACTTTCTATTGAGCTCCCAAGTACTTTAATGTGTAGAGGGACACTTCAGCTTCAAAACAAGCCTTTAATCTCCAATTTCCATCTAGCCAATTGTAAGATATGAATCTCTAAAGTAGGCACCATGAAACTGTTTTTACACTGAAACAACAGATTAGGTCGACCTAATACTATATGAGGTCGACCGAAAATTGCATGTCACCGTAGCAAAGTCCAACTTAATTATATGTTTAATTTGAATTCTGTTGTCTATTTAGTTTTTTTTTTTGTGTGTGCAAGTATTGTCTATTTAGTGTTATATATATATATATATATTAAAAGGAACCAATTTAGTGAATTTTCTTAATCCACTTCTTTATGATGGGCATTGCATAACCCTACACGCATGGTCTCTCACGGGATGAGAGTTTTTTTTTATGAATGATGAAAAATTTTATTAGAAAAAAATTGCTAGCAGCTCAACCAATAGTAGAGCAAGCTAGCGACAATAAAAAAAAAGCATTCTTAAATTTATGTACAAAGACAAGACTAGAAGAGAGAGAGAAAAAAAAGCAAAAAAGCAAAACGAAACAAAACATAAAGAGAACGAAGATCAAATAAGGTGCTTTGTCCCGGTCGTCACCCACTCGTGAAAGAGTTTATTTGAGATCCGACTACGAACTCTTAGCCACCGTCCGACCATACGAACAATCTTGTTCCCGATCTCTTGTGGGGAGGAATCAACATCTCTAAAAATTCTATTGTTTCTCTCCAACCAGATGAACCAAAGTACTTCATGGGACAACAACTTAATGCATTCACTAAACCGTTGATCACACCACAAGCCTCGCCAAACAATAAGGAAATCACGAGTAGAAGGAGGGTAAGGGCCATGAAGATCAAATCCCTTTCTGAAACTTTCCCAAATCGTAACCGCAAATGGGCATAAGAAGAAGATATGTGAGATCGACTCCTCATGGCATTTGCAAAGAATGCACCAATTCGGAAGAATCATCCCTCTTCTTTTCAAGTTGTCCAAAGTAGAAATATTTCCATGATAGACCATCCACATGAAGCAACAGATCTTTGAGGGCACGACAGGAATCCAAACTAACTTGAAAGGAAAAGCAAAGTCACCCCCAAAGTTATTCTCAATAAGGTTTGCAGCGATCGAATGTACCGAAAAGACCTCAGAGGACTCCAAAGGCCACACCAAGCGTGCAGGTCCTGTGGTGATCCATAGTTGCGGAAGATCACTCAAAGTTTGCATTTGTTTGCATAGAAGAAGGTTGAAATCGATTGGAGGGAAACAAAGAGTACCAAAAATCATTTTTGGTTTGACCAAAAGTGGACGGAAAGTTCAGTCATGTTTGACCAGGGACGAACCAAAACTCATTTTTGGTTTGACCATACGCGTAGACAGAAAGTTGGCTATTGTGATATAAGTTTGCATGAATTAAATTGTTGACTATCACATCGATTTGCATTATACAAAGGTTATGTAACGTTAGTTATTTTTTATATAATAGTTTAATCAAGTATGATACTTTTTAACTTAATTTTTTATTATTAAATAAAATTCATTTATTATTATCTATAATATTTACCATATCATCAATTTGTATTACGCATTGCAATCAAAGTATACTTCCCGTATTTACTGGTTGAACCGGCCGGTACGATCCGGTTTCCTTTCCCATGCATAAATTACAAAATATGATTCTTCTAATATACAATTAAAACACATAATTAGATATGATAATGCTCATCAGATGAGGATATGCAAATTGTGTAAACATTTCTTCACGAGTTTATTTTAGAAACTTGGTCATACATTTGTTTATATCAATAAAATACAATTTATTTTATTTCCTTCAGATAAACTTATAGCAAAACAAGAAGAAAAAAAAGTTGTATTGCGACAATTTCCCCTAAACAAAGCTTTTTTGAAGTGTCAATCAATGGTCAAACGGACGGAAAGTTGACGATTTGGATATTAGATTGTTTTCGAAAAATTTTGGCTATTATATTGTTTAAAATGAAAGGTTTGGATATTAAATTGTATACCCTTTATTTTATTTCCTTAAGATAAACTTAAGTATAATTCAAATCCCGCGCTCCAAGGATACTAATAAATATTAAATAGAAGAATCAAATTACATTAATTGACATCTTTAATACATTAATTATTCTCCTCTGTAATTTCTCTATAGCTGTTATTACAATGAAGAAGCTAGGGCATTGGTGGACTGCTTGCTTTTGTTCAACCGTCTCAAAAGCAGTGGCAATGGACATAGCCACATAGGAATCAAGTAACCCAATATTAGGCAATAATCAACCTAATTATTGAACAAATAAGCTTTGGCAAGAGTGATGATGCGGGATGAAAGAACTCTGATTTAGCGATGAGCAACCCTTGGCCGAAGCCATAGAGTTTACCGGTACTTTCTCAAGCATTTCATCTGCACTTTGCTGTGAGTACAACAACAACGAAATTATCCGATCCATAACAGAATTGTCAAACGGCAGTACGATTGGTTTGTCGCTTGAGAATCCAAACTCTTCTTCAGACATCCTTAGTATCTTCACGATCACGTCACTCTTCAGATACTTCAGCGGCAACACATAACGAGTTTTGTCCGCGGTGTAGACCACAAAGTAACCCCTTCTATCATAAGAAGAAAATGACGTTCTCAACGGAGAAGAAGACACATTACTCCCCATTCTTCTCACAACACCAATCTTCCTCCATTTTCTCGTCATTAAGGCTACTAGGGTTTTGGGAAGAACCATGATAATGGCGAATCTGAGCTGTTTTGAAATCTTATGCTGGTTAAGAAATACAAAGGAAAATGATGAGAACTTGAGAAGTGTTTAATTTATTTCCAACGTTTTTCGAGATGCTTAGTAATGGGAATCATGGATAGCTTTTATAGATAGCAAAGAGGACACACCAACTTGCTTACTTCCAAAACAGAACCTTCAATTGTGTTTCTCGTTTACAGGGAAAGTTAGGGATAATCGAAATATATTGGATTAGTAGATACTTAAAATTTTACCAAAAAAAAAAAAAGATACTTAATTGGAATTAAGTGTACCTAATTAGTTTCTTTTTTTTCGAACCTAATTTGTTTCTTTTGTTGTATATATATAGTAACGATCTTATTAGAAAATAGAACATTTGTAATATATTTTAAATATCTAGTGTGTCTAACAGTTAACCGTTGGTCACGAGATTAATCCTAGAAGTACAAGTTTGTTAACGAACAATAACAAATCTTTTGTGAATTTAACAAATAATAACAAATCTGCCTTGTAACCCACAAGGCTGAACGAGGGTATATAATGATTTCCAAGGTGTAGTAGAGAATCCTTAGTTCTGATTCCAAACACTATACATAGTTATTTCCAACAACAACACAAACCACACCTAGGTTTTGTTCTTTTATGTTAGTGAATACTGAATACTGCTTGGGTTTCAAGTGGGAGAAACCATTTTCCTTTCATGTTAGTGACTATAGCAATATGCAACATATATTATTTATTTTTTTAAGAATCATATACTAGTTGTATATCAAACTTAATTATATGTTTAATTGAATTCTGTTGTCTACTTAGTTTTATTTGTGTGTGCAAGTATTGTCTCTCTCTATATATATTTTTATATGGTGGTGTATTTGGTGCACCCGCCTCATAATTGTCATAATGAGCATGCGATTCATATCAAAACGGTATCAATTTTTGCTTATGATTTTATGAACCAGAAGCACATGAATTTGAAAAAGAAATCATTCAAAATTTACTTGAATTTGAAGGATTTAGAATTTGGAGATTTAGGGTTAGGGTTTAGGTTTACAATTTGAGATTTTGGGTTGTGATTCAAAATTGAAGGTTAAGGGGTTAGGGTAATAGATTGATTTGTTATGATTCTATGTCATATCATCATATTATATTAATAGTACTAATTAAAGTTCAAAATTTGATTTACTATGGACACTTTTAGAGTCGGGTGCACTGAGTGCACCCAAAAAAGTGAGTGCGCAGAAGTAGCCACCTATATATATTAAAAGGAACCAATTTAGTGAATTTTCTTAATCCACTTCTTTATGATGGGCATTGCATAACCCTACACGCATGGTGTTTCACGGGATGAGAGTTTTGTTTGCATAGAAGAAGGTTGAAATCGATTGGAGGGAAACAGAGAGTACTGAAAACCATTTTTGGTTTGACCAAAAGTGGACGGAAAGTTGAGTCATGTTTGACCATGGACGAACCAAAACTCATTTTTGGTTTGACCATACGCGTAGACAGAAAGTTGGCTATTGTAATATAAGTTTTTTTTTTTCTCGCAAAGTCAGTTGTTATAAAATCAGACATACAGAGAAAATAAAAAGAGCGCGGGAGTCGACCAATAGTCGAACTCCCGATGAGAGGGCCTTTTATGCCACATGATGGGCACCCCTATTGAGACAGCGGAGAACAAAACAGCAAGAAACCCAACTACAGAGAGAAGCCGAGCTCTGAGCATCTTGCAAGATAGTTCTATCCTGATCATGAGCCAAGTCACCTGTCTGAAGAAGTCTCTCCGATAACGGGAGCTCTTCTGCGAAACCCAACTACAGAGAGAAGCCGAGCTCTGAGCATCTTGCAAGATAGTTCCATCCTGATCATGAGCCAAGTCACCTGTCTGAGGAAGTCTCTCCGATAACGGGAGCTCTTCTACGTGCCCCTACAAAAAACAAACAAACAAAACACACAAGTGTCTCCACTGTAGGACAACTAAGCTCCACCAAATGGACTTAAACAAGCCATTAAGGCTTAGTCGGATACACCGAATCCAAAACTATGTCAAATTAACTTTTTTTTAGAATAGTTAAAGTAAAGAAAAAAAAAATAAAACGGACGAAATTGACAAATAAAATGAATAAAAGGGAGGGTAAGTATCAAAAGAAAAAAATAAAAATTACTAATAAATAATGAAGGAAATGTATAGCGTTTAATTAAAAAGATAAAGGAAATAAAAAATGACTAAAATGCAATAATGTAAAAAAAAGAAACTGCGGAGTCTGGTTGAGTTACTTACCTGGAGCAGTTATGCCATTCCAAAAGGTGTGAAATTTTAATTAAATATAAAACACATTTACTAATTACTTGCAACAGATCTCACCAGAACCGTCCGTTAAGTTACCCCAGGTAACCGCCGTCTGTCTTCTCTTCCATGCGCCGCCGTCCGTTCAGTTACCTCATATGCCCCGCCATCCGTTCAGTTGACCAATCCTTTTTTTTGGCATCATCGTCGATCCGAGTCCAGTGCTGCTGTCGCGAGACTGCCATCAGCGTCGCTAGGCCTCCCTTCCGCAGCGTCTCTGCGTTAGATGCCCGTCGACAACCTCCAGCCGCCGCGTCGCTAGGCCTCCCTCCTGCCGCGCCTTAACAATTTTGCAGGACAAAATGGAGAAGAAGCTCAGCTGATTCTGAGTCTCCCTTCAGCTTATATAGCTGGTGTTTGATTAACTCAAACGAGACAAGTGTCCTTACATGGATGGTCCAAATTAAACAAACAGTAAAGTTTAACGACTAAGTGCAGAATAAGTAAAACGCTATCGTTCTCTCACAACATAACAGCTAAACATAAAACGAAGTCGTTCCAATCTTCTTCCTCCTTCCTTGCATCACGAATCCTTCCACCAATATGGATTAGTGCTTCTGCAGTTCTTCTCTTCTGATTTCCTCCATCTTCTCTTCGATTCTGTCAGCCCCCCTCAAGTTGGTGGTATCAACTTGATCTCCAACTTGACAAGCAACTCCTTCAACCTGAAACGGTCCAGCCCCTTAGTGAAAATATCTGCAAGTTGTTGAGCAGTGTTAATGTACTTCAGATTGATCAAACCAATCTTAATCCTCTCCCTTGTAACATGCATATCAATCTCGATATGCTTTGTCCTCTCGTGAAAGACAGGATTCTCTGCTATATGTATAGCAAATCTATTATCACAATAGACTGTTATAGGGAGAGGCACTTCTACTGCCAGTTCACTCATCAATCTCTTCATCCACTCCACTTCACAAACAAGATGAGCTAAGGCTCTATATTCAGCCTTAGAGGATGACCTCGAGACTGTTGTCTGCTTCTTCGTTTTCCAGGTCACCAGGGAAGAACCAAGCATGGTGCAATATCCAGTAATGGATCTTCTGGTGTCAGGGCAGCTAGCCAAGTCTGAGTCACTGTATCCAGTCAGCTTTAACTTAGCTTCACTACTAAAATGAATCCCCTGATCATGTGAGGACTTTAGGTACCTAAGCACCCTGTATGCTGCTTGCATATGTTCTGCACAAGGATTTTTCTGATACTGACATAGCTGCTGAACAGCAAATGCTATGTCAGGCCTGGTAATTGTGAGGTAATGCAGCCTTCCAACCAGGCGTCTATAGCCTTCTGCATCTTCCAGCAAGGTTCCCTGTGATGTCAACTTGACCTTGGTATCAATTGGTGTCTTGCACCCTTTGGACTCCAGGTATCCTGTGTCCTTCAATAACTCAATACAGTATTTCCTTTGGCATACATCTAAACCATTCTCAGTTCTGCTCACTTCCAAACTAAGAAAGTACTTGAGTGGTCCAAGGAGCTTGATCTTAAATTCTTAACTCAGGGCAGTTTTAACTTGCTCAATATCCTTCCTTGAGTCTCCTCCTAGTATAATGTCATCAACATAAACCAGGAGGACTGTAATCTTGCCATGAGTCCACTTGGTGAAAAGAGAATAATCAGATGCAGACTGTGAAAAACCAAACTTCAATAGGAAATCTATCAATTTTGCAAACCATTGCCTTGATGCCTACTTAAGGCCATATAATGACTTTTTCAGTCTACAAGTCATCCTTTGTCCACTCCCTGATGGTACCTCCAATCCCAGAGGCAATTTCACGTAAACTACCTCTTCTAAATCTCCATGTAAGAAAGAATTGGAGACATCTAGTTGTTCAAGCACCCAGTGTTTCACACTTGCTACTGCTAAGAAGGTTTTCACAGTGTTAATTTTGGCTACAGGTGAGTATGTGTCTAGGAAGTCAATTCCATAGACTTGGGTATACCCCTTAGCCACCAACCTGACTTTGTTTCTTTCCAATGAACCATCCTGATGGAGCTTAATTTTATAAACCCACTTATTGCCAATTTCTTTAGCTCCCGGTGGCAATGGAACTATGTTCCTAGTTTGGTTTTCTTCTAGTGCAAACATCTCATCCTTCATAGCCCTATTCCAGACATCTGACTTCACTACTGCATAGTAAGACTTACGCTCCACTAGGTTCATGACATTCAATGCATAAGATCTATCTTCCATGCTTAAAGCATTAACACTCAAACAAAGTGGATACCTTTTACAGGAATTGGCACCACCAAATGCTCCAAGCTTGAGTGAAGAATCCAGTTCATAATCCCCATACTTAGTTGGCAGTTTAATGTGCCTAGATGGTCTTTTGTTCACTTCTGTGCTGGGGTCATCAGGATCAACATCAGCTTGGGGATGGAGTTCCTGCTCATCAGAATCAAAATATGTGTAATGATCATTCACTTCAGTAAGTGGCACAACTGGCTCAGTAGGAGACACTTCAGGAGAGATCTCATGCTTAGAGTTCCCCCCTTCATCTGTGGATGAAACAAACTAAGAAGGAGATGCATCGAGAGAAAAAGGAACTGTGAGGGATGGACGGTTTGTAGCAGGAGGTGGCACATAGGAATTGGGAGGATTTGCAGGAGGAATAGGAGTGCCTTGAGACTTGAAAGGAATGATATTTTCATAGAAAGAGACATTTCTGGAGAAAAACACCTGTTTGTTGTGAATATCCAGAACTTTGTAGCCTTTAAGGCCCGAGGGAATTCCAATGAACACACACTGCCTAGCCCTTGGGGAAAATTTTGTTCTTCCATGCACCAGTGTATTAGCATAGCAGAGGCATCCAAAGACTTTCAAGTGTCCCATGAAAGGTACTTGCTTGTATAACACCTCATAAGGTGTTCTGTTTTGTAAAATGGGGGTTGGCATTCGATTTATCAAATAAACTGCATGTAAAACAAAGTCACTCCAGTAAAAGAGAGGTAACCCTGACTGGAACTTCAAGCACCTAGCAACATTGAGTATGTGTTGGTGTTTTCTCTCCACCCTTCCATTCTGTTCTGGTGTTTCAACACAAGAAACTTGATGTTCAATCCCTGCTGAACTGAAAAACTCACACATCTCAAATTCCTTGCCCTGATATGTTCTGATCACTTTAACAGATGTATGGAATTGAGTGTGGACCAAGTTACAGAACCCCTTAATCAACTCCCTCACTTCACTCTTATGCTTCATCAGATACACCCACACACAACGAGAGAAATCATCTACAACAGTCAAAAAGTAAGAAAAACCATCATATGAAACTGTGGAAAGAGGACCCCAAATATCCATGTGTACTAAATGAAAGGCCTCAGGTGCCAAACTGGTGTTACAGGGAAAGGAAGTTTGCGTTGTTTGGATAAGTGACATACATCACAATGTGTAGTTTTAGTTCTAGCTACTGAGGGAATTACATGGCTAAGTAAAGACTGCCTATCATGACTTGGGTGCCCTAGTCTCCAGTGCCACAGGTTCAGGTCTTGTGGATTGAAGTTGAAAATAGGAGCTGCTTGGTGTTGGTGTTGAGGAACTGATGAAGTGGAAGGCTTGGGTTGTCTTGAAGGAAGGACAAGATGATAGAGGCCTCTAGTTGTGTGGGCTAAACCAATCCTCTTCTGGTTTAAGAGGTCCTGGATTTCACATTTATCAGAATGGAAGTGTAATGAAAAAGGGTTATCAAGGGTAAGTTTACTAACAGAAATGAGATTAAAAGAAAATTGTGGCACTAGGAGAACATCATGTAAGGTTAATCCACAATCTAGTTTCACTGTCCCTATGCATGTAACAGTGACTTTGGTACTATTAGGGAGATAAACAAAGGCATTCTGGACTGGAGTATAACTAGAGAATAGTGAAAGACTACAGGCTATATGATCTGATGCCCCTGTGTCCACAATCCATAAGGTCAGGTCTTGTGTTTTAGAGGTTTGGGAAGAGGACAGAACATGTTTACCTGAAAAATGAGGAAAGGAAGTGGGATATTGGGTGGCTGAGTAGGCTTGGTGGTTGATGGATGGGGAAGTAGGTGGAGAGGGCTGAGTGTTAGCACCAGTCTGTAACAAGTATCTGAGGCCAGTCATTTCCTCTGCTGTGAAGCCAATTGGTGCTGCTGACTTGCTCTCATTGATCACACTACCTTCTGATGCACTCTCATTCCCACTCCCTTGAGAGATAGAGCCAGCAAACCTTGGTGTACTGGAACTTGAGCCAGAACTGGAAGAAGAACCCCATTACCTCCAACTTCTCTTTGCATTTCCTGTTTCCTTTTCAGCTTCCAACAATCCTCAATGTTGTGATTATTCATCTTACAAAATCGACAAAACTTCTTTCCCCTTGTCTCAGTATTCTCTCTTGAGTTGTTACCTCCAACTGCTAAAGCCAGACTTTGGCCTTTCTTCCCTGCCACAGCATTGTCTGCTTTCAGTTTCTACTCATGCTGTAGCAGATCATGATCTGCCGTTGGTACTGTGGGTAGTGGCTTTTGTAAGAGTAGTTGTGTCTTAATCACATCATAATCAGGGTTAAGACCCCTTAGGAATCTAACCAGATAATCAGTCTCCTGCTTCTGTATGAAGGCAGCCACAGCTACACAGGGCATGGGATTTCCAGGAGCACAAGCACATGGAACTATTGGGCTAAATTCCATATACTCGTCCCATAGACCCTTAATAGCTGTGTAATACTGAGTTATAGATCTGGTACCCTGCTTACAAGCTTGAATTTCATCTTCCAAGTTTAGGATTCTAAGAGCATTGGGTTGGCCAAAACGTCTTTTTAACTCTTCCCACAATGCCTTAGCATTTGTATGATTCAGTACTGACCTCCTAATCTCCTTAGTCATCGATTTCTGTAACCAATAGAGGACTACAGTATTACAAGCATCCCAAAGACTAAACAGATCTGCTTCACGGGGAGGAATTGGAACTGACCCATCAATAAAACCCAGTTTGTTCTTCGTTTTCAAGACTACTTGTATAGATCTACTCCACATAACATAGTTTGTCCCATCAAAGGACTCAGCAACAAGAGATGAGACATGTTCTCGTTGGGGTTGAGATAATAGGGATTACCAAAGACAATTGTCTCTGATTGCAGCTGGTTCTGGTTGAAGGTTCCAAAACGGAAACCAGCTGCACCTGTGGTCGTCGTTGATGTGCTTCCGCCGGTTCCATTGTTCGGCGGCGTGTTAGGTGGAGTCTGCGTTCCCGATATTCTGTCGTTGGCGGCGGAAAAACCCTAGAGCTCGTTGAGCTCTGGTACCATAACAATTTTGTAG